CCCCCCCGACCATGTTTTCCAGGTTTAAAATATTGCTCCTTAATACACACAATAAAATAGCCACCAGAAAGACAAGTAACTTATAATTGAATAACCGATATGTTTACGTTATCTGTTTAGGATGCCTCATCACTACGACAGGAACTACAGAAACTACTACTGACGTCACAACAGAAACAACGGTAACAACAGTTCAGGCCACGTCTACAACTACCACACCAGGGATCACCACAGTCACAGAAACACAGTCCAGTACCACAGTTACACAAACAACCATCAATATTACGAACATGAATTCTGCTGCAACAGAACAAGACGAATATCATATAGTAGCAATACTAGTAGTTCCATTGAATGTATGTGGTTCAATAGTAGTTATTGTAATTAAAAAAAGAAAAGAAACCAGTGTGGACCCAGAAGTACCAAGCACAGAGTAACAACAACACCGACTGGATCACAGGTTACCATGGCCGTTGAAACTTGGGCGCGTATGTAAGGGAAACCCTACAATTTATTTCCCATATGAGTATTGTGATCAAATCGGACAAATGCTATAACACACACTGTCATATAGAGGACGTACACTAACCGTTTATGTAACGCTTTTATGAGACATCGTTATTATTCTACCTAAACGTGTAAGATTTCAGTGATACAGTTCTTATAATAAACTTGAGACTGAAAATAACAAGCAAATTTGTGGAATGTATATCCCCCGCTTGCAGGACATATTGAGGGTTAACATTATTGAGGTTAGGTTTAAACATGTGAGTATCGTGCTGTTGAGTCATAATGTATAGATTGAAACTTGAAGAAGAAAAAAAGCCCTATACCTCATTGATTATCCGTAAATATGCACAAATCACATCGGTTGGCAAACTTAGCATGAGTTGGATGTGCATAAGGAATTTGGTTGAAACATCTTAACAATATCTACAGCAATTATCAACATTTTTTGTAGTTATTGCACGGAAACGAAACGTGACAGACAGACAGAGAGCCAGACGGACAAACCCAAATTAATATCCCCCGTTTCGGTGAAAGCGGGGGATAATAAATATGCTATTAATTAAAAATGGATATATTAGTTGTTAGTTTGTTTGTTATCTAGTAACAATGATATGCAATTTTTTAAAGGGACAATTTAGGGAAGTAATGAAATTTATTTGATGATCTGAAAATCCAGTCGATACTGAAAATATATATCTCCTAGCTAAACTTTACGTAGTTGATAATGACATGACCTGAAGCCAACGTCCAGTGTGGTCAGTTTCATCTTTTGAGAAAGCCGGTGATAAATATAGCTACGACCTGAGTTCACACCTAACTAACTCATTCTTGAATTTTTACATTACATCACAAGTAAAAAATTATAGACATCATAATGCATACCTCTAATCAGATATTTCTGTTCACATGTTGATTCGAATAAGAACGAACAGGTTCAATTAGAGCATGCACGCACTGAGCGAGTGCCACAGGGAGAATTTCGAACCGAAGAAAGCACGATATCAATAGGTTTAAACGTAAAATAGATCACTCATTTATAACGATGTTTAAGATGCTGCTGGAAGATGATTTTGATTCAAAATAGATGCAGATACTTGTATTCAGAGAGGCTAGGCGAAAAAGGCGAGAAGTTAACTTCTCTCCTCGGCTGGAAAGACATGTTTGTTAGCTAGATATTCACCGACAGCTGCCGCTAAAACGTACGGCTGTACAGTTAAGGATTTCTCCATTACTGATTAAAAACGCCAAGAAAACATCGTCTCTTGTCATGAATTGTTCAAAGGGAGTATCAAACTATATAATCATGAAAAGTTTTGTGACTAGGTTATAACAAAAACAAAATACTTAACTAAATTGTCCCTTTAAATTAGCAATGAATTATTTTTGAATGAATAATAATATGTGTTTGATTGATGACCAATAATGAAAAACATATGCATGTGTGTCATTTGTGAACAATGATGATTCATGTGTTCAGTGAACAATAATACATGTATGTATAAGCAATGAATAAAAAAGGTATATGTATTATGTATGATAATATATGTATATATTTACATTTGCATGCCATTGTCACTATAAAGGCTATTTGAAAGCTGTGTCGTTGATTGGACTTTAAATACCATTCACCACGAGACATAATTGTTAACGTATCAATACAACACAGACCGGAACTACAATTTTCAATGTAAACTAACATGACGGCTGCTGAAATATCGCTGGGCATTGTGAGACTTGACAATGTTAATGTAAATGTGCAAAAAAAAATTGAATTACAACAAAACAAGACCAAGGTCTGCGATATCGTACAAAATGCATATCAGTTGAAATAGCCAATGCCGGCAATGGAAAAAATGTGAACACTCACGCAATTTATCAGAAATATCGTCTGTTACACTGCACTGATCAACAGAGGTTTGTTCCAATGTCTGAAATACACATATGCTATAGACCTACTGACACATATGCTATATACCTACTGATATGAGTCACAGCACACATAAACATACACAAGGCACATGTGTATTTCAGACATTTGTAACGAACCCCTGTGCTCCATCGCAAGTTCACTCACTCCAACGCTATCAGTATCACGCGTCTCTCAGTCACGGTTTCCTCAGTTTCTGACGACATGTCAAATAACGAGGTCGTTGTATAATCTACCGACTGTAGTCAGGTTCACATATAATCAACAAATAAATTAACGCCTGGATTCTTCACAAATTCGAACTTTTCTCTCTGCTTATTAAACTTCCAAAAAACAACTCCCTTGTGGAGGGCAAGGTCGGATTCACGGATTCACGGTGTTCACTGTATTTATCCATGCGCAAAATTTGTTCCGGGGAATCGAAACAATTTTAAATCTAACTCTCGGCTCATAATTATATTGATAAACTTAAATCACCCTATAGACATATCATATGCAATTGTATTAATACTAAATTGTGGAATACAATTGAGATGTTTGTTAAAATTTCAAAGTACTACTTTGTTTGCCAATCAGCACGCGACAACACGCTGTTTCAACAATTGAACGAATTTGTGTGGACTGTCGAAAAGGCGGGAATTTTAAATATGAATTGTAAGTTAAAAAAGAACATAAAAGGCAGAGAAAACGTAAATTTAAGTATTGAACTGTTTTTGTATGGTATTCATGATCTATTTGAATAACACAGCTTTGCTAGCGCATTATAATTTGTACACCATACAAAAAAAGTCCAATGCGTAAATATACATGCTATTTATATTGCACAATATATAAGTTTACAGAGAGTATCTGTATCTGTATATTTAATGACCAATTGCATGTATTTTATGAATTAATAATGACATATGTCAATGAACGAAGATATGACAATAATTATATGCGTTATTGAACAAAGATATGTATGTATGCATGTATGTAGGTAGGTAGATAATGTAGGTAGGTATGTATATAGGTATGAATGTAGGTACAAATAGGTAGGTGTGTATGGTGTGTATGTTGATATTATATGTGTTATGAATGTATTTAACACACATACGTACGTAACGCACATACATACATAACATATGTACATGTATGTATGTATGTATGTATGTATGTATGTATGTATGTATGTATGTATGTATGTATGTATGTATGTATGTATGTATGTATGTATGTATGTATGTATG